TGGGACAGTGTGTATGTGGAATACTTTCTTCGAAAGTAACTGTTAGGAACTGTTCGTTATGTTTTAGTGGCAAAATGAATTATAAGCTGATTAATTTCTAATTTGTTTATTGCTGTGTGTTGGTAGCGTAGGCTTCTTTGGCATGCACATCAGGTGCTGTATAACCAGCTGGCAGCGTGGATGGTATATGGGATTCTTCAAGACCAGCATGGAGAGTTTTTCATTAGGAGGTAGTGACGGAAGAAACTCCTTTCTTATGGGTTTGCATACTTGTCAAACTTCCATAACATATAATGCCTTGTGTCTCTCCTTCAGGCATACCCTTCCATTTTTTAGCTACACTCAACTTAAAATGGTTTATATGGTTGACTGTATCACTTTTCAGGCAGGAAGATAAGGATGTAGAGCATGGCTCATCTCATCGAGACATATCTGAAAAGTTGGCACGCATGTCAACAGATGATACATCTTTAACAGATTGGCACTTGGGATTTCATATATATTTGGTATTGTTGACTTTGTCTTTTGGGATTTCATATTCTCCCTTTACCTTGGCTTTAATTTGTGGTACATCACTGCCTCAAAGAGAAACCCAACTTTGAAACTCAAATTCTGTTACTTACGAGTTTCATTGTCTTCCCCTTTCTCTTTGTAGGATATGCTACCTGAGTATATCCATATGCGTGTTGCAGAATCAATTTTATTTTCAGGCAAGGCCATCAGGGTTCTTCGCAATCCGAGCCATGCCTTTCGGTTTCAGGATATTGTGTATCATCAACAGGTGCCTAGAGGCTCTCAGAAAGTTCAAGGATTTTCAGGGAGATTTCCTTTCCTCAAAGACCCTTTTGCGGATAAGGAGTTGATTGGAGAAGAATTGCTTCCACAGTCCGAGGCTGATAAGATTGAAACTATGCTTCTGGAACTAAAGGTTTTCTGTTTGCACTATGATTACTACATATCTTGCTGATATCATGTTTCTGGAACTAAAGGTCATAATAAGGTGGATAATGCGATAGTTTGCGTTTGATCCACTGTGCCAGAATATATAGTTCTTGACAATCTTTATATTTGTTTCTTTACACAAGATGTAGCTTCTCTTTCTAATTAAGAGTAAATTACATGTTCATTATGTGCAGGAATCATCTGAGTTTCACAAAAGATCTTTTGAATGTGCTATCGACTCAATTAGGGCTACTGCTGCCAGTCATCTTTGGCAGGTGCTGAATGTGAAAATTTTGGTCCCTCCATGTTATAGAACAAAAATTTACTATATTCCCTCAATTTCTGCAGCTTGTGGTTGTTCGCGCTGACTTAAATGGCCATCTGAAGGCACTGAAAGACTATTTTCTTTTAGCAAAAGGAGATTTCTTTCAGGTAAGGATGGAAAATATGTAAAGATTGCTTCCTTCTGTTTTCGAAGTACATAAATTTTTAATTTTATTCTCATCGCGGTGACTGTATATACCTTTCCCGAATCTCTAAATGAATTGTCATCGTTTGATGGCAATTTTGTGTTCAGTAATGATCGGATGGGAAAATGCTATTTTTGAAGTTTTTCTTAAGGTAGATGTGCAGGAAGTACTGATGTGGTCTTATATTTAGTATAGTTTCCCATTAAATGATTGTAACCTGGGAGGTTTCTTAATTACACATGATCTATTATGCCAGTGCTTTCTTGAAGAGAGTCGCCAGTTGATGCGTCTACCTCCTCGCCAGTCAACTGCTGAGGCGGATCTTATGGTCCCATTTCAGCTGGTAAGGTTTTTATAAAATGACTCCTTACATATTAAATCACAGAGTTGAGATATTAATTGCATCAACATTCCTCATTTTTCAAATGTCTGGAAACAATTTGTTTAGCTCTACTTCCAATGCAGGCTGCAATTAAGACTATAAGTGAGGAAGACAAGTATTTCTCTAGAGTATCCTTAAGGTTAGAGCCCTTTTTTTTTATTGTTCCTACTGTCTGCTTTAAATGAAGGTCTTGACTATGTAGCCTTTTTTTTCCCTATCAGTCATTTCACTTTGAGGTTTCATAAACATTGTTTATTCTACTATCATTCTGTCTCTGGTAGGATGCCATCATTTGGAATGACTGTAAAATCTTCCCAAGTAGATTTACCAAAGACAGATGGGAATGCAGGCACTGCACTATCAAGTGCTTCTTCAGAAATATCTCTTGACTGTTGGGATGGCATTGCTCTTGAATACTCCGTTGATTGGCCCTTACAGTTGTTCTTTACCCCAGACGTGCTCTCTAAGTAAGACTTCACTGCTAGTGCTAGTTGCAGATGCCATTCTTTGTTTTAGATTCAATATATTTGGTAATTGTCCCTAAAAATTTCTAATGCTTTTCTATTTTGGAGAAGCCTTTTGAGGAATCAGCTGCTGAAACATTTTATTAACTATTGAATGTTCATGATGTGAATGCATGCTAACATCAGGTGTACCCCAGGTACTGCAGGGTCTTCCAATATTTGCTGCGGCTGAAGCGAACACAAATGGAATTGGAGAAATCATGGGCCTCTGTGATGCATCAAGATCACACAGATTTTGCCAAGCATAGGAATGATCATGTAAAGGGCTCAGTATCTCAGCAGGGAAGGCAGCGATCTAGACCAATGTGGCGTATTAGAGAGCATATGGCTTTCTTGATTAGAAACCTTCAGTTTTATATACAGGTTATGGTTTATTCCATTTAACTTTCACTTCCATATATTCATTATTTTCCCAGAGATTTGTTGTGCAAAAAACAAAGCAGTATAGAACAGTATCTGTGCATCACCTAATGTATTTTCTGTTTCAGGTGGATGTGATAGAATCCCAATGGAATGTTTTGCAAGCTCATATTCAAGATTCTAATGACTTTACTGGACTTGTGGGCGTCCATCAGGAGTAAGTTGAATAAATAATTTCTTATTGTGTATCACTTCTATGTTGTCATGCTTTTGGATAGCTATCAGTTGTAAAAGTTGTCTAATATGCCTAGAATCATATTAGATGTACTTAATGAGAATGGTTGAGGCGTGCTACTTATGAAATATGATGAATGCAGGAAAACTGTAGGTAGGGGAAAGCCATTTGAGAGCCACTCAGACTTGTTTAGTTTTTGTTTCTAGGCTTATTGTTCCACAGTTCGATTTAGTTTTGTAGTTAGAGATCCTTGATTGCTGATTGAGATGATAGCTTGGAGCAGAAGAGCTCCGTATAAATTGAGGGCCAAGAATTGACTAGGGAATAGAAAGGTCTTTGTGACACCTTGCCCACACTTGATAGGATATGTGGTTTCCTTTTTGAATATTACAAGGCAATTAATGTTTAGTCAACTATGAATTTTTGTGGAATTTGTTCAATCTATTAGAGGTTCATGTTGCCTTTGTATTTCTGCCAAGCACGTAACCGAATCATGGTTGTGCATCGATTTTTTTCTGTTCATTTAATTAATTTGTTGAAGAGCTTGTTACTGTTGCTCTTACATATTTTCAGCTATTCCCTGTGTGTGCTTTGTCCATATTTTCTATTGCACCATAATGCTCATGGACTTCTAAAATTTCCTACAGGTATTTATCAGCTTTAATTTCACAGTCTTTCTTGGACATTGGCTCTTTATCAAGGATACTGGACAGCATAATGAAACTTTGCCTTCAGTTCTGCTGGAACATTGAGAACCAAGAAAGCAGTGCAAATACATCTGAATTGGAACACATTATAGAGGTAAACATCATTGTTTTGCGAAAATATTCTCTCTTCTTGCAATTATTGACAAGAATAATTTCCACATATTATACTGCTGCAACTGTCCTGGGAATTTACTCCTTTGTTGATGCCAGAGTTGGTTTACCTCTCTAATTGTTTCTGACAATTGACTAGCCCTGCATAATTCGAGGATGTAGGTTATGTTGTTTGGCTTTCACAAGACTCCATAGCTGCTTGCATTATTTAACATGTTATATAATGTTCCAATATGTGGACTTCATCTTCAATTTGGTTTTGTTTTACTTTGTTCAGGAATTTAACAAGAAATCAAACTCGCTATACACGATATTGCGCAGTAGTAGGCTTGTTGGGAGCCAGCGAGCCCCATTTCTTAGGCGTTTTCTGATGCGTCTCAACTTCAACTCCTTCTTTGAGGTAAAATCCCCAGGCAAGACGCTGGGCTAGATACTTATAATTTTTGCCTTGCGATTTCTTAACATTTTATTGTTCATTCCTCTCTCAACAGGCAACAGCAAAAGGTGTGCTGAACGTTGTAAGACCACGGCCTACACTTTCTGTTTTGAATCAACAGTAGCATAGCATATTTTTGTTCTACGGCTTCGAAGTGGCTCCTGCAAACTATTTTCAGGAGCAGGCCACGTGAGCACTGGTAAATTTGTTTTTGCTTCTTAATTTTAATGGAAGGACAGAGAAAACGAGCTTTGTTAACGCTTGTCTGAAGACAGATTTTCGTGTGTGTGTAAATTGTAATATACATCAAATGTTTTTCCGAGTTATTATGTAGATAAGGTATTTTTGTCAACTCCTTGCTCGTTGATTTTCTGAGTGGATGAAAGCCAGGTACCTATTTTGTGGTACGGTTCGAGTCGAGGCTGCGGGTTTCTTCTCGTCAGCTTTGTTGTCCTGAAAGGGTGAAACAAACAAACAAATTACAATCCTTGGCGAAGGGGAATTAGGTAGCGATTTTGATTGGCGGCTTGGAATTGTGGGTCATTAGGTGAACCTTTTCTATGTATTGGGTCTGAAGCTGTCTTTTTAAATTAATTGAACTTTATTATTTTGTGTACAAAGAAAGAGTATGATAGCATCACGGCATTGTTGTGAGGCCAAACATAGACTCGACTTTACTTCCATAGCACAGGCCTGTGTTACGTGAAAATTGTGAATCTGGTTGTGGATTGAATAAGCATTACATTTATATACAACATATCACTGTACACGTGAAACACAGATTCTCCTCGCGAAAATAGCAATAAACATGTGGAGGAACATGTCCAAAAATGAAATGGGAGCAGAGCCCTTAACATCTTCAAAACTTATACAAAGAAGGAAAGAGAGAACAACTAAATTCCAAAATTTCATTATAAATGATTTACAATGTGGCGGCTTAATTAAAAACAAGATAATAAAATGCGAAACAAATGTGGCATTGTATTAGAGCTCTTCGAAGCCTTCCTCGTCCCCTTCTTCCTCGGCTCTTTGAAATTCCTTCCTCCAAGTTTCCATCTGTCAACAATGTAAAAAGGTTTAGAAAAGTTCCAGCGTTTGAAGGACTAATGATACTGACACAACACACTAACTCCTGGGGAAAGAAGATAACGGTTTGAATATGTAGACAGGATGAGTTGAGAGATTGATTCCTCTGGTTACATGAATACCACTATTTAAGCGTTCATAAATTGTCAGATACTGAAAAACATGTTACCTGATCATCAGAAAACCGCAGTTGTTCCGCAGAAAATAGTATATTCTTATAGCTTCCTGATGCTAAGTCCTTGCCTAAACTCCTCGCAACTTCCTCATAGCAAATCATGTCCACCCGAAAGCCATTGTTCATGAATAATTTCTCCATCCATTTCCTTGCACTAGTCTACAGAACAAAACAGGAGACAGGTGGTGCATTCCTTTTTTGAAGAGAAAAGCAATTCAAACACTGAAAAACACTTGAAATAAGCAAACTGACCTTGATCCCTATTTCAGTTTCTGCCAACCAAGCAGGCAATTCTCCCAAGAAAAAACATCCGTTCATGGCAGAACCACTTACGGTGAGCAATATGTCCTCAAAAGTTGCTAATGTCATCACAGGGAGCCCCTACAACAACATACTAAAATGACTTCCCCACCCACTAAACAGAATCACCATGATAAGCTACACACAAATAGACAATTACTGGTCAGTCATTATAGTACAGCTTGAAAACCTTCTTTAGATACCTGCATGGCCCATATACTAGGGCGATTGCCATTAAAGCCTTTAGCACGCAGACTTTGCTGTAAGTTGGAGGATTCCAAAGGAACATGAAGGGATACGCAGCTTCTTGGAATCTTTGCCCCAACACCTGAGGGATTTAAGATAATACTATGAGAACATTTTGCAGTGCCTACTTAGCAAAAACAAGATGGTAATGTATAATAAAAGAATTCCTAAAAAGCTGGAATTTGCTGAGGATTAAGAATTAAACAAGACATGCATCAACAAAATATTTGATGCCCATGATACACAATTATCTTTTTTTTTTCAAATAGGCTGCAAAATCTTTAATTTCACCAAATTGTCACTAGTTGATGTTGTAAGTTTGCAATCACCTTGAAGCTTTTCAGCTGCTCTTTTGAATACCCGTTCTGGAGATATATTAAATATAATGGTTGAAGTTGGCCAACTAAGCCTATATGGACGGGTGTCCATGCCATCTGTTAGCAAAACAACCTGCACTTTCAAGAAGAATACCATCGAAACTTAAGGATTGACAAGAACAAGTGTATGAAGTTAAATCGTATCTCTAGACAAACAAAAACTACCTGCTTAAGTCCATCAATATGGTTCACTGTACGGAGCAACTTATCATCAATGAATTTAGTTGCAAGGCAATAATGGTCCGAGGCTTGCTTCATATCCATCTGAGCATTAGGAGCAACAAAGCAACCGGCATACGGATCAACAAAGAGAGGCTCTGCACATGAATTGCAAGTACTAATCACATACTCAGAAATTGCACACACAATTCAAATAAAGATGCATTCTTTATAAGTTGTTTGCGTCAATCGAATTGCTACTATAAAACTAAAACAAAAACAGATCATCCATAATAATACGAATCATTAAGAGCTATTTGATTGATTAAATACCCCACTGAAAAAGAAAAGTGTCAAATACAGGATATGGGCTTGCCTGGTCGATGGGTTTCTCGGAAACGAAGAGAGGCTGAATCTAAGGCGGATTGAAGTAATGGGTCATTTTCTTCGACGAGCTTTGCTCTCAATTTCAACCCGCCATTTCTATATGTTCTTGAAGTAGTGTAGGTTACCGGTCGGCGCAAGATTGCAGTAGCCGAGTCATGTGCAAAGCCCACAAAACAGTCCATACAATTCAGATTACTCTTCGTCGATGACAAGACTCACGAGAAATTGAAAGGATTCATCATCCGAACGTTGAGCCTCAGTATTGGCTGAAGACTTAACACAGGCGCTCTTAGGCCCAGTTTGGGATTGCTGTCACTTTTAAAAAAAGTTGCTTCTGCTGTGCTTTGAAAATAATTAGCTGTAAAGTAAAGCAGCTCCGTGTTTGGTAAACAATATCTTTAAAGTGCTGTTAGTACAAAAAGCAGTGTCAAAACCGTTTGGTAAGTTTTAATATAAAATTGTTGTAACTGTGAATGATGACTAAAATAGACATGATGTTAAAAGTGTTAAAATTGGTGGTGGTGGTTGTGGTGGTGGTGGTGGAGTTGGTGGTGGTGGAGGAGGTGGTGGTGGTGGTGGTGGCGGTGGTGGTGGCGATGGCGATGGCAGTGGTTGTGGAGGTAGTGAATGTGGTGGTGTAAGTGGTGGAGTTGGATGTGGAAGTGGAGGTGGTGTTATTTTTTAAAATGAATGATAGTATTTTGGGAATTAAAAAAAATCATTAAGGGTTCATCTCTGCTTCTTTTGAAAGCAGCTTTGAAAAGCAACCCATAGCATGCTTTTAAAAGCTGCTGTCAAAAGGCCACTGCTTTTAAAATAATCGAGATATTTTATTTTTACCAAACACCTAAAACTGCTTAACTTTAAAGTGAAGCAGGTTTTTGGCCAAAAAAAGCAATCCCAAACGGGGCCTTACGCTGCGCATGGAGCGCGGTGCGCGCACACGACACGACCTCAGTCGTTAAGCCAAAACGACCCACCGTAAAATGACACCCCGTCTAAACTAAACTTATTTGAGTGAATAATTGTATTATTTGATAGAATGCGTGCAGAATAAATTTTTGGGTGTGTGTACAATGACTCAGAAGATTATGATAGGACACAAACCATGTCTATTCAGGAATTAAAATCAAGGGGGTTTCATAATGCACCTAACACCTTAGGACCCATTCCACAACTAACGTTGATGTCCCATCAGCTTCATGAACACATAGCTGTGCCACAATCCCAAATCTTGTGTAGATTGATCTAATTAATTTGGTAACTGCATTAAAAAGAAGTTTGCTAAGCCTAAATCCCCATTTATCTTGGATGATAAACTACACAAGAATGGAGAATATAGAGAGTATTAGTGACGGGATCTTAGAGCGTATATAAGATTTTGTGTTCGATTTTCCCTTTATCAGTAGACCTTATTTTTAAATAATATTTTAAAGAAACAAAAGGATTGAATTGGAGTTCTAGCGGGCCAAAGGCCATACGACCCATCTAGACTGAAGGCTGTTGAAGTTGAAATGTGAAAAGTTAGTGCAAATTGTTAGGTGCAGGCAGGTTGGTAATTAAACAAAGGAATTTGGATGCAATGAGACCAAAGGCTTTAAAACCCGCAAAAATCACAAGGCCACCAACCGCGGAGAACACACACAATCAGACAATCTAGGGAAATAGTGAGCGAGACTGAGAGAGCAAACCAGAGGTAGCCAAAGCCAACCAGGAAGACATTAGCTTATCTTCAATCTCTGCTGCATCTCTCAAACGAACCCTAGAAAATGGACCCCAATCTCCAAGTATCAGAAAACCCAGAATCCAAATCGTCAGAGGAACAAAACTCACTTGCCATTGTGCCTTCCTCATCACTTCCTCCTTTTGCCACTGCTTCCCTCTCTCTTTCTCTCTCTACAATCCTCCCCACCCACTTTTTCCAACAACCCAAAGTTTCTGCCTTGTTTTCTTCCCAGCCAAACAAGGTCAAGGTGCCCACTCAGGCCTCTTCCTTGGCTCACCTCTCTCTATCCACGGCCAATGTAACTCCTCCGAAGCTCTCATTCAAGTCCACCATCTCAGCCAACCCTCTGCAAAACCCTCTCTCTTTAGGCCCTCGCCGTCCTCTAGACCCCTCCAATGGGGCCGCAATTCGCCGAGCTTCCATTGTCTGGTTCAGAAACGATTTGCGTGTCCACGATAACGAGTGCCTCAACTCGGCCAACAACGAGTCCATGTCAGTCTTGCCCGTCTATTGCTTTGACCCGAGAGACTACGGAAAATCCTCTTCTGGGTTCGATAAGACCGGTCCATACCGTGCGTCCTTCTTGGTTGAATCGGTCTCAGACCTCCGCAAGAATCTCCAGGCAAGAGGGTCCGATCTGGTGGTCCGAATCGGGAAGCCCGAGACGGTTTTGGTGGAGCTGGCCAAGTCAATCGGCGCCGACGCCATTTATGCGCACAGAGAGGTTTCGCACGACGAGGTTAAGGCCGAGGAGAAGATCGAAGCCGCTATGAAGGAGGAGAATGTGGAGGTCAAGTACTTCTGGGGAAGCACTCTGTACCATATGGATGATTTACCATTTAAGTTGGAGGAAATGCCCACGAATTATGGTGGGTTTAGAGAGAAAGTAAAGGGATTGGAGGTGAGGAAGACGATCGAGGCTTTGGAACAAATGAAGGGCTTGCCCTCTCGTGGTGATGTGGAGCCTGGGGATATTCCTTCCTTAATGGATTTGGGTCTTAATCCATCTGCTACAATGTCTCAGGTTTGACTTTCAGTTTCTGAGTTGTTATATTAACTCATCTTTGATCCTATAGTTTTCATCGAAAGTGTTTTGGACTGATTGTTCTGTGGATATAATTGAGAATTGATGATGTCGTGGTTGCAAGATAAATAGAAATGAACAATCTTTTACATCAGGATAATGGAAAAGGTGAACAAGTTTATAGAATCAATAAGGCCTTGCTTGGCATCTTAGTATATAAAGACTTGAGTATGTGTTATTTCTATCAAATGTTTGCACGAGATAGGGACCGAGAAGTAAGTTAGTTTTGAATATTCCGGTTTTAAGTACGAAAAGATTTAGTATCAAACAAACTTTTTGCTCAAATTTGTATAACTTGAATGGTCGTTAATGGTTCAGCTGCAATTTTACTAATGCTAGCATTTGGATCTTTTGCCATTGCTAGCCTAAAATGGATTCAAAGAATAAGAGTATCATCATTTATTGACATGGAAACTGTTTTTGACACATGGTGCTGTTAGTTTCCTCCTTTTTATAGTTCTGTGATAATATTTTTTGACCTGTTCCCTGGAAAGTGAAAATATTTTCATCTCTTGTCTTATAGGATGGAAGACCACCTGCCAATGCTTCCATGGTGGGAGGGGAAGCCGAAGCCCTAGAGAGGCTCAAAAAGTTTGCAGCTGAGTGCCAAGCACAACCACCCAAGGGTGGCAAAGATGGAAGCCATGATAGCATATATGGTGCAAATTTTTCATGCAAGATCTCTCCATGGCTGGCCATGGGATGCCTCTCTCCCCGCAGTATGTTTGATGAGCTAAAGAAAACTGCTGACAGGTGTGCCTATGCCTTTCTCTTAAATGGTGCTGTAGTTTCTAAATTTATATTTGATATGTACTCACTGTTCAATGCAATTTTATGATTGATAGAACCATTTCTGCTTCCTCAAAGCGGGATGATGGTGGCAGTGGAATGAATTGGTTGATGTTTGAGTTGCTGTGGAGGGATTTCTTCAGGTAAATAGACAGACCATGACGCTAAAATCACATGAGAACTATTATTTTATCTTGTCCTTCTCTATCAACAATTCTACCATCACCTGATTGGCTCTTGCGTATACACCCTATTCTCTACTTTAGCTTTCAAACATATCAAGTTGAAGATGTGTTATAATATGGGTAGTACTGTACTGATTTTTTTTTTGTATATCCCTGCTCAATACAGATTTGTCACCAAGAAATACAGTTCTGCAAAGAAACAGCTTGACGCTGCTCCAGCCACAGCATGTACGGGTGCCCTTGCTTAGGGAAGAACTTAAATTGGATGATGAAATGTTGAGATATGGATTAGTTTCAACTCTTTTAATTTTCCAAGATGTAGCAGTTAGATGTTGTAGGGTTCCTCTGAAGGAGTTGTTCCTTGTTGAACCTTGTTTTCGGTTCCAAATAATGTGGTTGAATATGGAGATTTGCCCCATTCTTCATACGTTCTCATGTGAATAACAGATGGTCTGCTTTTTGCCTTCTATCTTTGGTTTGTTGTACACATTGACCAAGTTGTTAATGGAATTACAGATTTACAAAAGAAATAGAATTTCCGCGCTTTTAAATTCACTTGTCTTTCACTCATCTCACATGTTTACTTCGCCTATTTAAGGAGAAAAAAATACCAAGAAGAAATTATACTAAGGGTGATGTTTCCCCCACCATCACCCCCACCGTTGCCACCACAACCACTGTCAGCATCATCACCATTACCGCCACCGCCACTATCACCCCCACCTCCACCATCAACCACAAAACATCTCCACTACCATCACCACCACCGTCATCACCCCTAAACCCTTTGTTTTTTGAATGCTATAAACTCCATTAAAATCAATAATAAAACTCTAACAAACTCAACTAAAATCTATACACAAATTCAATCAAAAATCTATGTGGAGTTTGTAGAATTCAGTCAAACTCAATTAAATTCAATTAAAATCCATCAACTTTATAACTCTTTTAAAATCATTTAAAATCTAAATTGAATACACCCTCCTAAATTTATGTAGATAATATACCAATACCCTTATTTGATAGAAAAGGCTAAGGTGCATAATAAGCCAATGCCTTCAGATGAGCTACACATAATCAGAAATTTTTGTGCATTGTATACATCAATGTTACAATGGAATACACTCCGTACACTCAGTCATACTAGTTAAATACAGAAAGAGAACAAACCAAAATCATACCGAGCAAAAGAATTTATTTTTCTTTCGAAAAAAAAAAATAATAATTCTCATATGATGCCAGAAACCTTGAGAGAAGATAGCACAACAAAAATAAGCCAAAGCAACATGAAAAACACAAAGGTAATCCAAGCCCAAAGCCTTGGCCCTCCAAGCTCAGCACCCAATGTTCGACGCCTAATTACCAGAACCGCAATACAACCTACTGAAGTTGAGAAAAATACAAGCAAAGAGAAGCTAAGACCCGCTGCATTCTCAATCCGCAGTGGTTCTTTATATACAAAGAAATTGTATGCAGTGTCAATCAGCCACGGAACGCCAATGCCAACATATATATTCACAGAATTGCTGCAAAATGACATCAACAAACAGGAAAGCAAGTTGAGTTCATGACATGGCTGAAAAAATTTAACAAAATTGAAATTCAAGTGAGGCCTTTGAATCCAATTTTGTTTTCTTATCTTTCTTGTTTCATCTTCTGGATTTCATTTGTTAAAGGATGAACGTTTACCAAACTTCGAAATTCTTTATCCGGACCTCCTTGCTACTAAATGTATTCATTCCTTGAAAAATAACTTAACAAAGTCTAAAATTGAAATGGATCTTTAAGAGTAAACCTGCAAGTAATGTTTGCGATGGCAGAATCAGCTGTTAGCTGACGTTCAGCAGCAATCTTACTCGCAACTAAATCTGGCCATGAAGTTCCACTTGCTAATGCAGTAAATGCTATGACATAAGGATTTATTCCTGCAAAAAGAAAGTATGGGAATGACAAAGTTTTAGAGAACTAGCTAGATCATGGACAAAATTATATTGATGAACTGTAAGTTATCACAAAAAATCATAGAAACCTGTGACACAGCTTATGAGATCTGTGAGTTGTGTTACAATGTAAGCTATCGCACTGATGAAAACTAAGGAACATATGAAGGCAATCCAGCCATGAGCAATATGATAAGGGGGCACAAATGCAAATAGTAGTCTCCATGGGACAAGAAGTAACTGCCAGGAAATTCTTGCTAGTCGCAAATATAGGTTGTTCAGTTTTCTTGGTTCAGTGCTTTCTAACTGTTTCAGAAAAAGGAAATTACTGTAACCAGCAAAAATGGAAACTACCACAAACAACACATATCTTGATTATTAAGCATATACAACAAAGAATACAATACCTTGACTGCGTCTACAAATTGTTGCCTCCAAATTGCAAACACGTGATAGTCTTCTAAACTCATCTTCTCTGGCGAATCTTTATTGGAATATTCAGGAGTTTCATCAGTTCCAGGAACGTTTTGATACACTGGACCTGCAAAGTGAGACTTCCATATTGAGAAAAATTGTAAAAAGCCCCTAAAGAATGTTATTTTTACCTGAGAGTGACTATTTCGTTGCAAGGAATTTCAGACAAGTACCTATACCACTTCCTGAATGAATGGAGAAAATGTCAACAACGTTCCTGTTTTCATCTTCACCAACCTCAAGTATCTCAGAGTAGTTATTGCAGGGACCGCTATAACTCTTGCACGTAACAACCTCAGCTGGCACCCAATCCTCTGGTCTCTCACTTCTTGGTCTTAGGAAATGAAAACAAGAAATGAAGGCAAAATACTGAGAAAGTTAAACCAGTTTAGAAAAATGATAAAGACCACAAAGATCTCAAACATTAATTTAAACATACAAAGGAAGAGAAAAGTAGGGCCAACGCTTGTCTTGAGCATAAGCATGCATCAGCAGTAATCCATATTGCAGTACTGTCAATAAGGCCTCCCATATTGTAATCACATTCGGTGTCCACACCTGCAGCGTTAAGTAAAACCATTTCACTACAGAGTTCTAAATGCGTGTCAGGCATAACCCGAAATGTTTTGACAGATAAAAATAAAGAAAAAGGATGATTAGCATAGGGTGATTCCTTCAAATTACCTCTAAAATTATATATAGCCAAATATAGGCCCAAAAAGACCAAAAGAGCTCAACTAGCCAGACTCCTACATCAGCTATCTTTTTCAGCTCTCCGACTCTAGGAACTACAACACATACTGCATGGATGGGGAAAAGGTCGAATGCAGCAGAACCAACTAGTGTTCCAGGACCCAAACCTATAAATTAAGAAGACTAGCAGTGTTAAAATATATGAAAGAAGATAATAAATGTAACTAAACCTACGTGTGAAGAAAAGAAAATCAGAGAAATGATTGCAGAAGCATGCAAAAAGATTCAAAATGGAAGAAAACCAAATCACACAGTTGAGTAATCGTCATTATCAACATTTCAGTGCATTCCCAGTGACTCCAATCACAAGATAGATTTTGGGAGATCATGCTCATCAGAAGCAGATGAAATGTGCTTCTCCTTTTTCTCCTTACCTCTGTCATATTGGAGAAGAATAACAAATCATGAACTTCCCTCAACAGTACTCTATTCTACTCAGGTCATCTAGTATCCTACCTACTAACAGCTATTGAACACATGAAGTTTTGAACTGATACTACAGCAAAACTCATGTTTCTTGCAGTGTATCTCAATGTGTGTGTGTGTAAAAGTGACAGTAGCATGATAAAACAATGTGACACGGAAAAGGATAAACAATCCATCAGGGAAAAAGATGAACAATAAACCATGAAGCTAAAATCTCAAAGTCACATCAATAATTCAGTAAGTTTTGTAAAACAAACCTCCAGCATACAGCTTCCCAAGGTTTCTTATAGCATCAATAGTAGCCAATGATATTTGAGGAAAGCTGGTCCCAAAAGCCAGCAGGCTAATGTCTGCAATTGTGAAGTTCCACACTTTCTCATACCTAATAATTTCAGCACCAGTATAAGGATTGATATCTACCACCTTCCGTGTGTGGCTCACAACACTCTCCATTGATTGGAAAAAACGAGCAGTTATAGCAGACAACCCAACGAAACAGTAAGCAAGACCAAGAAAATATAAGAAAGTCCGGAAACCAACCCCAAGGCTAGTTTCACCATGAAAAATAAAGTAGCTTTCACAATTTTCTTGACCCATTATACTGGAATTTCCAGGCATGGTTTATGTGGTTTGCTCAAATTGCTTGCAGTCCAAAAACTACAGTGAAGTAAAGCAACAAGACCTGATTGATGCAGAGAAGAAATTTGGTTATCAGAAATTGATTACAATTATGCATGACTTAATACTGTCAATGAGTAAAGGACCAAATAAAGAGGATTAACCTGCAACAAAGATAAGACAGACAAAGCGAGCAATTCAGCTCCTAATACCCAAATTAACATTGCTTTCAATTTTCCATTTCAACGGAAGAAGATGTTCAACAACATGTTGGCGAGTCTTTGTTTTGACACAACAAGCTCTCAATGCAAATCCCAGAAAACCCAAAAACCAAACAAATCCATGGCAGGCGCGAGTACAAACCTTCAACTATCGAATCATACATACAGCTAGATCACATTTATGGGTTCACAAGAAGAAGATGAAATAAATTAGAAAACAGAGATGCAAGGAGGGACAACCTGAGGAGCTCACGTAGGAAGGGAAGGCAGGAAGCTCGCCGGCGCCGGAATCGACGGCCGCCCGAAGCTCCTGCCACAAGTGATGACGTGCGAATCCAAATCAAAAGAAAGTAGATAGCAAAGCAATGGACAGGTGTGGCGGGGAGTGTCAATCTCTCAATTTTCAAAACGGTGGGGAGTTGGGTTGGGGGATGCGTGAACAGAGAGAGCTGTTTGCTGACTTTTTGGTTCTGAGTCAGTAAAAGTCAGAGGACGCAGACGTGCATGGTTTGGGGCCAAAGCTTTCCTCATCTTGAATGATTAAATTTGCTAATTGTTATTAACCATCTGAACTGGTGTTGCATAAATAACTTATTACAATGGTGAACAGTGAAGGCGATACGTTTCTTTTTTCCTTTGTAGTTACAAATTACAATGACAACAATATATATATATATATATATATTCTTTATCAATACGAGCAAAACTATAAGAGATCGAATCGAACTTAGGAGTTAGAATTCATAATTGCTTTAATTCAATTGAGTTACAAGGGTCTTGATACGGGATAACAATAAGATCCTACCCTAAATAACTATTCTTTTTCTCTCTTGTGGAATAGATATTTTATGCAATATATGTGATTGCTATTTTGGGGAAGTCACTATGATTGTGACATTTACAATAATTCTACACTGTTTGTGGCTGGCTGTGTCCTATAATTCTGTTTGCAGCACTCGCCCGCCATCCATAATTCTGCCTGCTCCAATCGCATCAACATCAGACCTGCCATTCTTTTGTATCCCTGAGCTGAGCACAGAGTTTTTACATATAAATTATGATTATTATAAATTATAATTAATGAATTTACCAACCTAACCAAATTCCAGGAATAATAACCTTTCTACCAATAGTCTTTACAAGAGCACAGTCCTTGTCTAAAATGGTGAAACCGATTGCAATCTCTGATAACAATTTCCCGATCAAACTCCTTGGAAATCATCTTCATAGCATCATGACAATCACGACATATCCTCAGGTTTTTAACAATTCGAATTGGGGTGCCTGGACTTGTCTTCAAAAAGCAGAAGGCAAGTGCTAGCTTCTCACTATGAAAGGACAAAGCCAACTCCTTTCCTTCCTCATCCAGCTCAAGCAATACCTCACTTGTATTTCCAACAAAACCTCTCAGCTTCAACCTCTTCATGATCTCATCAAGCATCATATATATTTCTCGACTTTCTGGATGAGAATCGTCACCCACGAAAAACTCATGAAGAACACCTCCTACCTCAACCAAGCTACAACCAGGGACCTTTTTTATCTCCCTTTCCTCCATGAGATCTCTCACACGCGTTACTTCGCTCCATCTACCCATCTTTGCATACACATTTGATAAAAGCACATACGCACCGCTATTCGTGGGATCCAAATGAATTAGATTCTTCAGTGCAATCTCACTTGTTTCGATGTCCTTTTGCATCCTAGATCCACTCAGTAGAGCCCCCCAGATAAGTACATCAGGCTCCATTGGCATGGACTGCACCACCTTCAATGCCTCCCTAACAAGACCAGCTCTTCCATAAAGGTCAACGATGCAACCGTAGTGCTGGATTAAAGGCTTAACACCAAACTCCTCGTCCATTCTCCTAAAATACTCCTTACCTTCACCCACCAAACCTCCATGCACACAAGCACAAAGAACACCCACAAATGTCACAGCATTAGGCCTCACACCACACTTTACCATTTCAGAAAACAATTCAAGGCATTCGGTAGCAAGTCCATGCATGGCCAGTCCTGAAATCATTGAACTCCAGGCCATGACATCCTTACTGGGGCCCATATTATCAAAAACCCATTTTGCTTTCTCAATACTTCCACATTTGGCATACATGTCCACCAATGCCGTCCCTAAGATAACATCAATTTCCATCCCAGATTTGTCGATATAAGCATGAACCCATTTGCCATGCTCAAGTGCACCCAATCGCCCACAAGCCAAAAGTACGCTTGACATGGTAAACTCATTAGGCCTCGCACCATCCGCATCCAACATTTGCATTTCACGAAACAGGGCAAGTGCTTCCTTATAACCACCGCACATGACGTACCCCTTTATCATACAACTCCAAGAAATCACATTTCTATGTGGCATTTTATCGAACACGTCTCTCGCATTGCCAATCAACCCCACTTTCGAATAGGCATTCATAATTGAATTCCAAGACGGTAAATCAGGTTCATAAATCTCATCAAACACTTGGCGGGCCAGCATCAAATTGCCACAAGACGAGTACATATGGATGAGAGATGTTTGGACAAACGGGTCGTGCGTGAATCCAAATAGAAAAACTTGGGCATGGATCTGCTTTCCCGATTGGAGGTAAGGAAGAGAACCGAAAGACTGAAGGAGAAAAGGGAAGGTGCGGTTGTCGGGTACAACTCCGTGTAAGCGCATGCGAAGGAAGACGGAGAGTGGGGAATAGGGGTTTGGGACTGTGGCTTGGACATGGGCTCGGATAAGGGTGTTCCAGACGAAAGACTCAGGGGTGGGATGGGAAAGATGGAGAGTTGGGTGCGTGGAGGATATGAGCTTTGCAGAAGCTCGCATTTGCATTTCCGGTGTTGCATGGCGGGAAGATGTTCAAATCGTTTTAAAGGAGTTGGCATTCCATTGCTTGGACAAGCTTAGAGCTAACTTTTCGACAGACTGACGAGCAAACGATTGTTAATCATTTGGGTATATTATATTGCCGGGCGGCAAATTTTATATTATAATCTGGCTGGCTCCTAGTTACCAGGGACTGACTTTAAATTTTATGCCTTCCCTAATTGTTTGGTCTGGGTTTTTCTCGACCTTTGCTTTTTCTATTTGTTTGGTACACTTCTCTCCTGGGCCTTGTAAGCTCCTCTTGCTTTGAACCAACTTCTTGGTTTACCAAAAACATAAATTTGATTAGTGCAAATCAAAAAATAGCTTCTCTTTGCATCTCATTTGAACGAACTACAACCGAGGGTAGGTGATATATATAAAAACACCATCAAAAAATTATCAATCCATCATAATCAAATACCTGAATGAAATATGTATTGTACCACCCACATAGACAATGTGATAACGAGATTCTAAATTTCAGACCGAATACTCAAAAGAAGCTTAATTTCATAGTGGGTATCAATCATGAAACAAGCCAAAATAAAAGTCGATAGATAAGCAGGTGAAAAACAAAAGATTGTCCTCTAGAACTACAAAGCTCAAAGGGTAATGCCACAAAAAAGGAGACTAGGTTTTCAGTCTTCCTCCTCTCCCTCGTTCTCAGCAATGTTGAAGTATCTCAACTCATAAACACCGCGGTCCTTGTTGGAAGCAATTACGCGAAGCCAATCCCTCACATTGTGCTTCTTCAAGTACTTCTTGGTCAAGTATTTAAGATACCTGAGAAACAAGTGATATAAAGGTTATACATAAAAGAAAACAGAGCATGATTACTACTCAAAAAGCAACAAAAGAGTACCTATGTCTAACTGAAACCATTACTAATCAAGATATAAGGATTTCAAGCCTTTTATGTTGAACTGAAAGTTATATTCATAGAAATGGAATAATCCAAAATATAATTGCACAGTAAAGCTAAAATTTGAAGTTACAAAGAAAATAAACCATTGAATATTCTGCAAAATGCAACCCACATTAAAGATTCACAACAACAGAAATAAATGAGTCCTGTGCTAGTATACAATCCTTTTATACATATTAAGTGATATGAAACTTATACATAAAGCATGATATAAACAAAAGATAACCAGACTAACATCAGCAATACCATATCCATGGAAATGTAATAATCAAGATACAAGAGTTCCACATATTTCACGCTGAGCTGTGATTTATATTCATGGAAATGCAGTAATCAAGAAATTAGTCGTACACCAAAGCTTATAGTTCCATTACAGAACAAAGCAAACATTTGCCACAACAGAAAAACAAAGGCCATTTTAGGGCACAACCAAAAAAAACAAAAAATAATTACTTCTTTTTCATAAAATAAGATTTAAACCACTGGGTTCTAGTTATAATTCAGATCTGCAAAATGGTATTTGCAAATAAATATAATCCAAAGTGTGAGTACCTCTTCGAGAAGTTGGAGTCAGAGGTGACGGTGATCTTGTTCTTCTCACGAGAGACGGTGACAGCGTCACCGAGAGCACCGGCCTTGCCGCCGACCTTGATGCGCTCCTGGAGGAACTTTTCCAGTGAGGCGATGTCCATGATCTTATCCTCCACTGGCTTCGCGCAGTCTATCACAAAGGAAGCCCCCTTCTTCTTCCCCTTCGTCCCAGCTGCCGCCCCACGACTCATCTTCGCTTCTCTCTCCCTCTCTCACTCTCTCTCTCTCTGCGTCTGTGTGTGAGCTGCGTCTGTTACTTGAGATTAGGGTTAGGCTCCCAGTACAATAAAAGGGACTAGGGTTTTGGGTTCGCGGGGTTTTTATTTTATTTTTTTGGTACGGGCCCAAAGGCCCAGCCTAAAATAATACGTATAGGCCTGCCTATCTCAGCCCAGTCCTCTTTAAGAAAAATATGGCGACGGTGTCGTTTCGGCCCTCGTTTCTCTTTCAACGTCTATCGAACGCGGCGCGCATCGGGGACCGGAGGTGAGAGATGGAGGGAGAGCCCTACGACGTCGTCCCGTGCTCTTCCGTCGCCGTCGATTCTATCCTCCGCATCGGAACGGTAATTCAATCCTCTGAAACTGAATAAGACATTGTAATTCTATGTATCTGGAAACTCGTTTTACAGCTCAAATAAATAATTTTGAATCTCATAAATTTCAGGCTGGTGCAATTTGGGGTTTGTGTTCCGCTCCCCAAGAGGCTCGTAAACAAGGTAAAGTTCAAAACTTTCCTTCATTTTCACCAAAAATTTGTAGAATTGATTTTGATTTTGTAAGTTTGTTTTTCTTTGCCGGTGATGTAGGCCTAGGAGGGGTAGCTCAGGCCGCTTTTGTGGTATAAATTCTTTCATAGATAAGCAACAAAGTTGTCTAGGGTTCTTACTAAATCTCTTGAGTGATACATTTTGTATTGGTACCGTGAGCAGGCGAGGTCGGCTAGCTCGTGTGGCTTTCAATATGGTAAACTCAGATGTAATATATCCTGCTTTTTTTGTTTTCTGATTTTTAGTTTCTGAGAGCTGTATTTGGCTGAATTGACACTTTTAAAATTACAGGACTTGTTGCTGGAATCTGTACTGCTACTCACTGTGGGCTTCAAAGATATCGGGGAAAGAGCGATTGGGTTCGTGAGGCTCCTGTACAAAGTCAATTTGTATATCTTCTACCATTACTTCTTTGATATATAAATCTCTGCTGAAAATATGCTTTTCATTTTCTTTTCTCCTTATCTTCTACTTGTGAGTTTCAAACATCCTAATACAAAGTACTTGCTGATATTCTAACAAACCAATTTGGAGTCTTGTATGGTAATTTGCCCAACACAATCCAACTTGCATTGCTTAAAAACTTTTGCAATCCACTTCTATATTGTGACCCGACACACTATTGCTGCTGCACTCACAAATTTGCAGGCAACACCAGAGCCAACCAGCTTGATCTTGGCTTCACTAAGATGCCATTTTATGTTTAGAATTTGGAAAGGTTGTACTTGATAGTTTGTTGATCTACATTGCCCCTAATTTTGTATTTCATTGGGTGTTTAATGAGTCAACTTTGAAAAGCTTGATGGCCTACTAGAAGATAATGGTTTTTCCCTCTTCTGGCAGGTGAATGGTCTGATTGCTGGTGCTGTGGCAGGGGGAGCCATTGCTGCTATGACACGAAGCTGGACACAGGTGGTTCCTATGGCTTGTCTGGTTTCTGCCTTCAAAGTTGCCACTGACTATGCTAGAACAACTTGAAATACCTCTCGGTGGAAAACTGTGGCAGAGGAAGGTTGTTCTCTTCGCTCCCTACATATTTTACCTATTTTTTCCCCTGCTTAGATCCCTCATCTTATTGAACCATTTGTCTGTATCACTGTCATTATTTTTGACTAAGCAAAGAAATACGTTCTGTTATGTCGGTAGATATAGCGTTTATGGAGCGACCGTTGTATGGCAGTTCAATTCTTGTATGATTTTCTTTTCTTTTTCCTTTTTTTGTGTGTAAATAACTAGAGCAGATAACAAGGTTCCCTTTTGTTGCTGATGCTCATTTCAACAGATATTTGACCAAGGATGAAAGCCCTTCATCCTTTGAATTCTGGGTGAAACTAAACCAGGTGAGCATTGTAGGTGATGATACCCTGCTTCTCAGAAACCAGAAAGACAAAAACAAAAATAAAAGTAAAGGAAAGAAGTAGGGGCAAAATTTCTATTTTCGACTAGTCAAATTCAAGTGTAGCAAAATCTCCGTTTATTTGTGACTGCATGAAAGTGACAGCATCTACTCTGCATAGGCAGTAGGTTACATACCATCTCAAAACTAAGAAGTGGACAATGACAATGCGTTCGCCCTTGTTGATTGTGTTTAAGTTGACTTCAATAACATTCTTGCTGCAAAAAGTTATATAAATTATAACTTTGGTGGTTAGGAACAAGTGGATGGAGGGTCCTACGCAATAACTGGATGTGTGGGAAACATAAAATGAGAAAGAAAAGAATTAAGAAAACATTGTGGGGGTAAGTGACTATCTTTCTACCTGCTAACCTAAATGCCTTTATTTTCTTAAAACGTGTGTGTCACATTTTGATGGGGAAACGTCTCTCTGTCTCTGCTTGAATATATACGAGGTCAAGTATTTAGGTGAAAGCTCAAGAATTTGCAATGCTATTTTTGGTGTGGGTTTGTGGGAAATGTCGGTTCAACTTCCAAGTTTTTATGGAAAGATAATCGTAAGATTGAAATGAATTCGGATCTTGAATTGGTTTTCAATCTAATCGGGTTGTCTAGGTAAAGTCAGTTCATGTACGTTTGTAAGCTGGAACGGGCTAGACAGTAGCAAAATTTGATGAGGCGTGAGCGAGCTATGTTCTTCCCGGTCCATTTAAAATTTGGGTTGGGTGGGAACATTTTGGATCCACTCTTTGAATACCCGAGGTGAGGGTGTGATTAGTAAGTAAGTTAGAAAATATATTCGCAGGTGAAAAATTAAATAATGTAGCCTTGAAAAGTTGAAATGGTAGATGGATATTAACTTGGTACAGAGCAAGTATATGAAATGACTTTAAAATGTTTGGTGTTTGGTGCTTGGTTGGTGACAAAATAAATAGAGCTATCAAATCACTGAAGATGGTGCCGTATATTGGTGTTACAACCATACATTCCCATTTCATTGTATTCTCTCTTTTTTTCTTTTCTTTCCAATAATTGGTTACGTATCATGTTTATGCAACTCCTGTCTACTTTACTTGGTCATGTCGCACTCTAAATAAACGTCAAAAACGTTCTAATAATCGTGGAAAATATACAAAAAGTTTGTATGATTACATCTTACAATACTATACACGATATGAATATTTATCTTCTTTTTTTTTGTTTTTTTGTGTGGCTATGTAAACGATATGACTAATTTGTATTCACATTTTTTTATACAAGTAGTATTTTAATTTAAATTACGGAAATGGGAATTTAAACTCGATTGCAAAGCAAGGAACACATTTGCTCTAACCAATTTGACTAGCCTCATGTGTGTATTCACTTTTTATTAGCAAAGATGATGAAGGAAAACAATAGCTTTACAAGTAGGAAAAACTTTGAAATGAACCAGTGGTTCTCTGCTCTTTGACCCCAAAACAAAAAGGTCCTCTATGCGCATGAAGCGCATCACATACTATAACACCCGAAAAGGTATCTATTTACTATATATAACAAGAACCTTTATACACGTTGGGGTGAGGAAAGGAAATACAATCCAGATAAACACCTACTACCACCGTCTCTCTCTCTCTCTCTCATCATATTTCTTTTTCAGAGCTTCTACTTTCCATTTCCCCATATTTTTTCAGAATCTCTCTCTTTTAAGTTATATAGAACAACATTAATATTCATCACTCATCTCTTTCCCAAGTTATTATTGTGTTTGAGGCATCAACTCACAGATCCAGAGTTAGGATATACTATTCAAACATGGGGTCATCAAGGATCTGATATCTTAGTCGTTTTCTTTTCTTTTGCTCTCTCGTGGTGAACATGGATGGTGAATATCAAGGAGTAAGTATCTTAGTCGTTTTCTTTTCTTCAAGATATATTATATATACCTGTATGTATGTGTTTGGTTGAGTTAGACAATGTTGATATATATATATATATATGTAGTTTCTTCTCTGATGGGGTGTTGTTCTTTATTTGTTGAATGAGAGAAGGTTTACATAAGGAATTCAAGAGGAGTGCAGCTTTTCACTTGCAGATGGTTGCCTTTTTCCTCTCCAAAAGCCCTCGTTTTCCTTTGCCATGGTACTCTCTCTCTCCTTCCTTCTCTCTCTCCCCGTCTGATGAGATGGGGCATATGTGTAATTAATTGGCGGTATTCATTAATGGTGTTGCAGGGTATGGCATGGAGTGCAGCGGTTTCATGAGAGGTAATAAATTTTCTTAAATGACTCTTCTTCGTTCCTCCTATTCGTTCTTTCAATTATATTTTCTCAACTTTCCATTGCTTCATCTATAAATATATATAAATATATATAGGGTAGTAAAAGAAAAATAAGACAGTATTCTTTTATAACTTACAAACCGAAAAGAAATTTCAATATATCAAAAGTGGTTGGTAATAATAGTAATTTACTACACTTGATGATTTGAGGGTGTACAGATACATAGAGATAGAGATAGTCATCACGAAAAACAGAGGCGGAAAGAAACTTTTACCCAACTACTTTTCCACTTCTTATTCCCCTTCCAGAAATGCTAGCAACCTTTTCCTTTTCCTTTTCTGCAAATAAAGCAAATCTAGTAGTGGGATATATTGGGAATGCTAATTCATTGAAATTGGACACTTTTTTTCTGCCGAAAGCATAAAACTTACAAAATTCCTTGTCTTTTATGTTCATACGTTCCTGCTAATATACATGCATGCATATCCAAGGAAACCTCGTCAAATTACGCAAAATCCACTCACAGGGCCACAGAGTGTTTGCCATTTTTTTACTGGATCACTGCTATTTCGCCTCTCGGATAGGCATACTTTTAGGCGGTCGTCTGTTGGGAATTGGGTGCATGGGAATTGGGAGAGGATAGATACATTGAAAATAAACAAAGCAGATGACTTATCCAGGATAAGTTTAAATCTTTGGCAAACAACCGTATGGCACACCTCAGTCCTCTGTGTCTTTATGCTAAATTTAAATTATATCGCACATAAACAGACAAATACAAATGGATTTTTTAGAGGCTGTTCTAGTCCCGTCCCATTCCATACAATGGATTTTTTTAGAGCCGCGAATGCTGACAAGGCTATCATTTGTCCTATCTTTCTGGTTCAATTCTCAATTATTTTGGGTTGGAACTTGCATCGCATCATCTTCAACTTGGTTGGAGGAGGAGGCATGCACACACACAACACAAAACACAAAACACAAAACACATGGCTCTTTTTTGTCACTGCCTCTAATCTCTCTCTAGAATTGAATTGGCTCTTAGAGTCAGTGTCCTTCTCCAATCTATAATTTTTTAAGTAATTAAGACTCATCTAAATAATTGTCCAAATCTTTGACCTCCATTTTTTCTTTTCTTTTTGGATCCTTATAATTCAATTTAGGCCGTGATGATTGATTGGTGATAATAAATGAGCTCTGCAAGATGAAGACTTTCCAAACAATGTATCTCTGCATATTTGAAAATTCTCTTCTTCTTTTTCTGCATGTTTATTTACTCCTTCATCCAGCAATTATCATATGGGGTATTGTTCTTTTTCTTTTTATAAGAAAAAATTATTATTATTTGGGCCATTAACAACAACCCTACATGAAGATTCTATACTGAAAACGGAATTGGGTGGTCAACTGGGTTGGTTTGGTTAGGTTGGCGGACAAATTTTGGGCTGTAGGGTCTTTTGCTGGCGGACCGTGATAATGCCAAAAGGACTGTTGTTGTTGGAAACATTATACTTATCCAGGCAAATACTTAATGCAACTGGCAGACATGATATTGAAGAGGCAAATACCTTTTTGTTACTTTTTAATACGTACATATTGAAGGTTATCTAATGAAGTTATTCTTTGATAAATAAAAAAAATTAGAATGTGGTGTCCGACTGGCGAATGCGGGGTATGCAGTGTTCGGAATTGATTACGAAGGACACGGACGCTCGAGAGGGGCCAGATGTTACATTAAGAAGTTCGAAAACATAGTGAATGATTGCAATGAATTCTTCAAGTCCATTTGTGGTATGTTTAATCCAATCCAATCCTCCCAATTAAAAACTAATCTCAATCTTGGTTCTTGGGTACCCTCTACCCTGTGATTTTAATTGAACTTTGAACTAAAATGGTGTTCCAGCGGAGGAAGAGTACAGGGACAAGTGCAGGTTCTTGTATGGTGAATCCATGGGAGGGGCAGTAGCCCTTCTGCTTCACAAGAAGGAGCCGACTTTTTGGAATGGTGCTGTTCTTGTTGCACCCATGTGTAAGGTGGTAATTTGATTTGCGTGTTAAGTTTTTAATTTGGTTTGTTTGGTGAAGCGTTGGTTTACCAAATCAAAACTGATCGTTTTATCCAATCCAATATTGTTAATTAAGATATCAGAGAAGGTCAAACCGCATCCGCTGGTTATCAATGTGTTGACCAGAGTGGAGGAGATTATTCCCAAATGGAAGATAGTGCCTACAAAAGACGTCATTGACTCGGCCTTCAAAGACCCTGTAAAACGCGAAGAGGTGACAAAGACAATTAAATGAACACTAATTTCATTTCTTTTTTTGACATTTTATTTTGTGAAAATTAAGAGAATGAATGGGTTCAAATTTCAGATAAGGAGCAACAAGCTGATCTACCAAGACAAGCCAAGGCTGAAAACAGCGTTGGAAATGCTCAGAACTAGCATGAGCCTTGAACACACTTTGCATGAGGTTGGTTTGTTGCTGCTTCCACTTCCATTTGATTCAACATATATATATATATATATATAATTAGTTACTAACAATTGTAGACTAGCATAGCAGGTGAGGCTACCCTTCTTTGTATTGCATGGGGAGGCAGATACGGTTACAGACCCAGAAGTCAGCAGAGCACTGTATGAGAAAGCCAGCAGCGCAGACAAGACCATCAAATTGTACCCTGGAATGTGGCATGGCCTGACATCAGGAGAGCCCGATGGGAACGTCGAAATTGTCTTTGTAGACATCATAACTTGGCTTGAGAAGCACACCAATGATGACAATTCCGTCATCGTGCAACCTATTCACACATATAGGAATGCCATTCTCAAGATGAACACCACAGCATCACCACCCCAAACAATAAACAAGCAGCATCAGCAGCAGTCGCCTCGGCCTGTGCGAACACAGTCGCACAGGAGATATTTCTGTGGGTTGAAGGGACGCAGATTGCAGCATCACTCGGCAATGTAGGCCAGCCAATGTTGAATGTGCATGGCAACTGATGTGCATAGTCACTCGTATAAATGAATGCTCTTCAGTTTTCGTCTGGATGAGAAATGTATCGCTATCGCAAAGAGGAGGCAGTGGAATAATAAATCCTTCCTTGCCCTTTATTAATAAACCTCTATTATAATTCAGCTGTCTAATATGCTTCATCAATGCAAGGGTCAGATCAAATCAAAGAGATTGGTCTGTCTGGAACTTGAAAGGGGAGGTAATGGTCTAATTGAACTAACAAATCCAATCTAAATCACATTTCACTTGAACAAATCGAATCCGCGGCTTTGTGAGTCACTTGCCATCACAAGTCCCAATGGCAGCAGAGTGGTCTCTGCTACCTCTAAAGATGGTGGCTTGCCTTCCCTGAAAACCTCTGGCTTCCATGTTTTGATGTGCAGTCAATCCTAAGATGGTGAAAAGAGTTTAAATCAACACTGTAAAACAGCAGGAGCATAAAAGATGAAAATATTGCGTTGGAACTGTTATAACAATGTCCTATATTTCTGAATTTTAGTTTTGGGTTTTACTGTAGCTTTTAATATATCTGATTGTGATGTTTGTATTGTTTGCATGTCAACTACTTTGTTTGGACTATCTGAATATAGCTAAATCTAGGGTACAGTTCTTCCCAGGCTTATATGGAACTCTCAACCCAAAGCAATCTGTCAACGTCGACAGCATGGAGAGCGGGCACCAGAAAAGCTAGCTTGTTCAAAAATAAGGCCATCTCTTTCCTTGGTGCTGGTGTGCAAGTGCAAGTATACAATTAATCCAGGGTCTAAAGGCTCTAAGCTCAAAGTCATGGCATTTGCTAATGGGACGGAGAATTAGAGAATTTGGTTTACAGAAATCGTATCGCCGCGCGGCTATATTCTGGCATCCCTAATTTTTTAAAAGCAATCGTATAGCCGGGCGGCTATACTCCTATTTTTTTTTCCCCAAACAAATGGTGTAGCTGCCTGGCTATATTCGGTATTTTTCAAATTTAAAGCTATAGTATCGCCGCGCGGCTATACTTGGTGTTTTTAAATTTTCCTATGCCCGGCTAAACTCCCCATAGTATAGCCGAACGGCTATACCCGGTTTTTAAATGTTTTAAGATATCGTCTAGCCGCGCGGCTATAATTCTATACTCCGCATTTTTTAATTTTCCTTGAAACTATAGTAGTCTATACCCGGTTTTTAAATTTTTTTAAGAAATCGTATAGCCATGCGACTATAATCGGTTTTCTCTAAAGATATAGTATAATCGGTTTTCTCTAACAGAAACAGTATAGCCGGCCGGCTATACTCGGTTTTTATTTTTTTAAAAAAAGATATAGTATAGCCGCTCGGCTATACTTGACAATTTTCAAATTTTTTAAAAGAAATAGTATAGCCGGGGCTATACCCGGTTTTTCTTATTTTTTTCAAAACAAATACTATACCATACTGCTATACTCTTTTTTCCTAAATTTGTTAAAAGAAATAGTATAGCCAGGCGGCGATACTCGCTTTTTTTTCAAATTTTTTTAAGCACTAGTATAGCCTCATGGCTATGCTCGGGTTTTTTTAAATTTCTTTAAAAGAAATAGTATAGCCGCGCGGCGGTACGTGGCATTTTTCAAATTTTATTTAAAGAAATAGTATAGCCATGCGACGATACTCAGTTTTTTCAAAAAAAAAATTAAAGAAATACTATACTAAGTTTTATCTATTTTTTTTCCAAAGAAATAGTATATCCGCTCGGCTATACTCAGTTTTTTCTAATTTTTTAAAGAGAACTAGTATACGCGACTCGGTATGGTATTTAACCTTCCCTTCTCTAACAAGTAAAATTTGATGTCATTTTCCAATCCTTTTAATTAGTGACACGCTTGTAAATGGTTTAGGTAATTATCAAGAAAAGTCAGAATGAGGATGCACAATGTGCCTTTGTTGTTGACAATCCTGGAAACTGCATCTAACCAGTCAGATGTAGAGTGCTCCTACGGAATCATAGCAATCCTTTACCGGAGGCAGGTCAAGCTTACTTGCCCTAGTGTGAATGTATCACAATGAACGCATCGTCAAGTCTTCAAGGATTTACTTCCTTTTGAGAAAGGAAAAGAAGAAGGTATCACAATGAACATTATTTTTAACGTTCTTTTCAGCATTACAGTTGTACTTGCTTGTGCTATTAAGATTTAATCTCCCTTTTTTTTTCACACGTGGTCTTTAGGCTCGCATCTCTGAGTATCTCTCTCAGGTAATCGAATATACAGAGAAAATTTCAGCTCATAGAAAATGCAGCTTCATATCAGCTGCTTGTGACATCTTTAGTGCAAAACTTTATCCATCACTCTCCGAATTATTGTTTCGAAATTTCATACTATCTGTATTTTAGAACCTGTAGAATCTGTTATTCAAAAACCACATTCCTGTCTTATAACATCTCAGAATTTGGGATTTTTCTTTTTCCAAAGAAGAGTAGTTGCTTCATATCAACAAATCATTACCAATGGATTAGTGATTGGAGAAGCTCCTCACAATACAAACAAGTAATATCATGTAATCTAATGAACACTCTCTAATGGACACCGTTCGCATAACAAGAAAGAATAGGAAGACCGACCGAAAAGAGAAGCTCGCTGTCTATTAAGCTTTAAGAGGATAACAACACATAAAGAACAAGGATGGACATAAAACAAGTGCCAGAATTTCTTATATGCTACTGTTGCTGTTGCTGTTGCTACTGTGGCCGTGACCCTGCTGTTGTATTTCGTTTGGAAATTGGAGAGGGGAAAGAAAGAAAGGAATTGTCTTTCCCATTGCCAGTTTGCTGAGTGAGAATTGAAGTATATATGCCAATGGCCATGCCTACATTAACAGAGGAAGGAAGGATTATTACATGGTGGTGGTGGTGGTGGGAGTGGTGGTAGAGCCAGCTTCCTTGTGGTCACCAAAGATGCGCTTCCTGAAGTCTGAGACCATGAGAGGGAGACCCTTTTGCAGGGACACCTTTGGTTGCCAACCAAGTAAGTCTTTAGCCTTTGTGATATCAGGCTTCCTCTTGTGGGGGTCATCCTCTGTGTTGGGCCTGTACTCTATCTTTGCATCTGGGTCGATTGTTTCTTGAACCACCTGCATGCACCAACATCACAAGAAACAATAAGTAAAAAAATTAAACTGCAACATTTGATTAGGGATTCCATCTCATCATGTCAATTACCTTTGCAAGTTCAAGCATGGTGAATTCACCCGGATTCCCGAGATTGAATGGTCCGACATGTTCGCCTTCCATCAGGCGCATTAGACCTTCCACCTATTGCCATCCACAAAACGGCAAAATCTTAATATCTTTCAGCACCAGCAAATGAGGATCCTACTTTCATTTAAAAGACAGAAAGGAAGAATTTGACCACAATACAACGCACAACATGACTAAACTGCATAGATCAGAAATTTTACTTGGGAGCAATTTATGCACAAAAGCTAAAGTGCAGCATATGCAATCGCTTTGTGCCATGCACATGGGAAAGAGATTAATCAAACTCAACACAGTTGAAAAGAAAGAAAAACCCTGCTCTCTTTTTTTTTTAAGTTTGTCACCAGTTCACTAACAACTGCCCATCTCAATCTCACTCTCTCTAATCTTGCATTATAAAATTTAATTTCACATGGCTCGATACTGAAAACCATAAAAAGCAGCAGTTTGGAATATTTAAAGTAAAACAATTAGCTAGCTAAGCACCACGCAATGCAACAAAGCAAGCGAAAACAGTACCCGCTTATTAAAATAAGGGAACTAAAATAGAAGCGTTTACCAGATCAGAAACATATTGGAAACTCCTTGTCTGCTTCCCATCTCCATAAACAGTCATAGGCTCTTTCCTCAACGCCTGCATCATCCCAATTACCACTCAAATAAACAGCTCATCCTTTCAACGACATATACAAATACAAAATATAAACAATTTTTTTTTTTACCTGGGCAACAAAGTTACTAACAACACGGCCGTCATCTATGCACATTCTTGGCCCATAAGTGTTGAAAATCCTAGCAATCCTAACCTGCAAAAACAACAACCTATCAAATTACAAACTAAATCATTAGGGATTGAACAAAATATAATTTGTAATTATTGATCCCATTACTCCTCAAATTGGGTTCACCTGGCACGTTACGGAGAGGACCGGCCTTTCTCATTTTTATTTCTCACTAATTATTGAAAAAATATGCGATTAAGTTAATTAATTTTGGGTTGTAAAAGAACAAAAATAATTAAATTTCGATTCAGAACCGGTACCTCAACTCCGGCTCCTCTGTGGTAGTCCATGGTCAATGTCTCGGCCGTACGTTTTCCCTCGTCGTAACAACTTCGGACACCTGTCACCCATTCAGACAGCCAACGAATTTTGTCAGGTAACGGACCAAAACTTCTGGAGTCTGCGAGATCTGCACCTACTCTAAACCAAAAGACGCCCATCGACATTACAAAATTGCCCCTCTCCAATTTCTATTTTTACCGTCCTAACACGTCACACCCTACATTACGGTCATGGCGGTGCGGGGAATACACAAAATCGCCACCGTCGGTTGAGTGGACCCGCAGATCACGGGTTTCTCGTTCACCGTAGAAATCCGACTGGATCTAGGAACATTGACCACGTGGGTCCCATCCACCCACCATGGCGAACGTGCTGTCAATTAGCATCGACTCCTTCAACTTCAAGAAAAAGACAACCCCCACAACCTGGTTTCAAATCAGAGCTATAGACTCCGGCACCTGTCCCGCGCAAGTTACACTATAGGCATACCTCGCCACTAACGTGCACCGTAACGACAAATAGAACCGAAACCGCTAATAATGGAATCTAAAAAAAGAAAACAGAGAGAGATACTCTGTCACTCACCGATTGGATTAACGTTGCCCCAGTAGGTTTCAACCTGCGGGTGCTGCAAAGGATCACCGTACACCTCACTGGTGCTGGTTAGCAAGAACCGAGCTCCGATCCTCTTCGCTAGACCCAGCATGTTCAGAGTCCCCACCACATTGGTTTTGTGCAGCTCCAAAATTAAAAATTAAGGCCTCCAAATAATTATAATTAAAATTGATTGAAAAAAAAACTTTATAAAGAAATAAAATTTGAAAATTTGAAGTAGAAAGGATATAAT